CATCTGAGTCTTTTTTGGTTTTGTTGAAGCTGAAGGGAATAGGGTGGACTGAGGACATGGCAGAAAGCCGCAGGTCATTTCGGGATTTCATTGGATTGTTTCGAACTTGGGGCATTTAGGTGCTTCGGTCTTGGGCTTCCAAATAGTACCGTGGTTGTCGTGCCCTCCCCATCCTCTCCTAGTTGAGATTTAAGTTGCCCCCGTTCAGAATGTCCGGCCGGGCACAGGGCATTATGAAAGGTAAGCAGCTATGATGGCAGGCAGGGATCAGCAAGGGATTCGCCAGAAATAAGGCTTCAGAAGAGAGCCTCCAGACGCATTCTGTAGACTCTTTCCGAAGCTCCCTTGCTTGTCTTCCTCCAGAGCCATCATTGTATTTCACCCAAATAGGAGCAAACCCCTCAGCATGGAAAGTCCAATGACGCAGCTTGACGAACAGGTTTCCCTTCAAAGGTCCGTCTAACAACAAGCGGGCCCTGTTTCAACTTGATTCTAAACTTGCGTGTATAGTAGGCATGTCACATCGCAAATGCACTCCGCTCATGTGGGTTTCACCTGAGCACCCCAACACAAGTGCTGAACCGTTGGCCGATGAGACCCTTACAATCTGTGATGTGCCTAGTTGGAGGTTGAAAGAGGCGGGGCCAGCTTATGGCTTACGGAGTGTCTTGTACAGCCTGCACATCTTTTCCGAAAAGGCTCCCTTCTTTTCTTCGGAACTGTTGCACCTGGCCGGCACCCCTTGGGGGCGTGGCGATGTCTGCACAAATTTATTGCTGTCTCAAAATCGGCGAGAACGTGCTCATTTGTCCTGATGCCTGAATCTTCCAAGTTGCGCCGCTGCCCAATAAAGCCACAGCCAGAAACCCCCGGAACCCAAGGCCTGTCTTCAAGGGTTGGCCACTCTGCTTCAGGTGTCGAGGCTGTCTGGGCCCAGGGACCACACAGGAGGTGTGTAATATTATAGCGGAGTGTTTGAGATGCTGAGTCTAAGCGCCGGTCTATGACTGCAAGTATTAGCAGCGTCTGAACTTTTGGAAGCCTGGATCTCCGGAAACTCACGTCTTCCTTCGCGTCTTCACGTCTTGTGCGGTCAGTCATGTCTTCGCATCTTCGCCCAAGAAAGTACCACCCTGCGGACATCGACGAATTTTTGGCATCATGCACTTCCGAACACAAGCTCTAGAAATCTACAGCTTCCTCAAGCTTAGCGCTTGTTGCCGCCGTCATCCACCATAACAGAGTAGAAGAGCAGACGAACACGGTCATAAGAATCTGCGACAACCAAACACCCTGAACCTGCTTTGCCCTCAATATCCCTCAATGTGCGCAACTTAGGAATCAGGTCGTTCTGCCACAGTTTGTTTTGCAGCTGAACTCCGGCTCTTGAAGCTCTCCACCTTGAGAGCGTTGGAAGCCTTAGATGTTCTACTTATCTCTACTTTGCAACTTAGCCCTGTGCCCGCAGAAGCCTCCGAAGAACGGGACAGGTGCCCACAATTCGCTTCTTGGACAACAGGGGCTGGGGTTTACGGTCCTGAACTCCAGGGATCAGTTCTTTGCTCCTCGCTGGTGCCATGGGAGTGAAACCACTTCGACCCAGACGAAGCCTTTAAGCATGATTGCTCCAAATGCCTGCATGTGAGTATGCGAGAAGATGCTTGGCCGACTAGCTGACTGGTATGGCAACCGCACCAACACATCGTATCTGACAAGAAACAAAGCATTAGACTACAAGACTATGCACTGAGTCTTCGCACGCTCTCTAAATAACATAACCACAGCAAAGCCCAGCTTTGAAACAACACCCCCACGCGCCCCTGTCCCCACTCCAACTGCGGAAGGAAATGCTCTCGTCTTTTTAGGTCGAAGTGAGTGCATCGAATTATACCCGCTCGTGCGCTGTGCAGACGGCTGCCGTTGACCGCGGTTTCTCTCCTTCCCCGTGCTTAGAATCTGGGTGGCTTGTGTAAGGGTAGGCGAAGATCTCGAGATCAGCTACCAGAACTGTGCTGAACACGTGCATGAGGCCCGTCTATCATCTCGTCATCCACATCTACATCTCAGCACTCACCGTCCAAATCTCACCCGCACACACTCACTCACTCATTCACCCACTCACTCACTGGACGACCATTCACTCTTTGACACTCTCCCTGGTCGAAGCCCTGAAATCTATGCCTTGTCTTCCGCGGTCTCCTTGGAAACAAAGCAATTTCGCTCCGGCGGTGGCGGCCCGCGCTGCCTTTCAGCGAAGCTGTGCAGTGCGTTAAAGAACTGTAACGAAAAGGCTGCAACAACAAACCACAACGGCTTACAGTTGCCGTAGGGTACAGTCGGCCGCTTGGGGTGTACTTGCGTTAAGCATCTTAGCTAGGTTGACAAATGTTATGCTCATAAGCCACTGTCAGACCTCAATAGGTTCGTGCCAAATCTGACGTCCTCTGATACTATGTTGATTTGTGTGGTTAGAGAACGTATTCTTTACAAATATTTACAGGAAGAGACGCACTACGGGCCTGCGTTTTTTCAGGGTTGGGTCCTATGATCTGTTTCAGGATATAGAACCATCTTGGCGATGTAGCATACTTCCATTTAAGCATCTCAAAAGGTTTAATCTCTTCAGGTTGTTACATCTCGAATATGCAGACCCTGTGCAAGCGTGGCAGTACCGGGATTTCTGTGAGAAACGTCAAGGATTAACTGCAATCACTCGTCGGGTCTCGAAGTTGCATGTTAGCGGAGGAAGCTTGACATCGAAGAGCAGCTTCGGGAAGGGATCGGCACGCAGTCGGCATGTGCAGTGCAAAGACGTGCATTTAATGGGATCTGGCGTCTAAGCACATTCTAAGCAAGCACAACTCGGTGTCGAAGCTGCCTCACAGCTCCAGGAGAGCCTGTAAGACGGGGAGACTGCTTTTTTGCAGTTGATGCAACCTGCATCTGTTATTTCGGGCAGTCTCGAGCAGGAGGCATACACCCGCTTCGGATATCGTACGACGGGTCTCCTTCCGCCCTGCTTCGTACGCCTTAACCTGAGCGCATTCACGATGGCCGCTTCGGCAGCGATTCGGCGCGCGCCCAAGCTTCGGAGCAGGCCGAAATCACCTCGGCTTGGTCCATTGGCTACGTGGCTGGTATCGTGATGGCTGGATCACTTGGTGACCTGGGCGATGTGGCATGGGGACCCAGGACCCACAACCATGGTCACAAATGGGATTGTGGCGGAAGTGCGGGGAGTGCTCGATGAACTAAGGGATGACAGGCTCTCGGCTTGGTGGGCCCGGTGTGGAATCTTGGTGAAAGGGATTCAGCGGTGGAGCAAGGGTACCCGTTGGAGCCGCTTGGCTCAAGGCCTCGAAGGCGGTAGACCGCAGGGTTTGGGAGAACCACCTCGCGAACGATCATGTTCCTCACCCGCCTGACTGTCATTGCATCATTTTTTGAATTTCACGGCGGATCTTCGTAGCTTGGTTTCGCAGATGAATTCAGAGTTTTGTGAAACCGCCTTTGCGACTTATTGCTGGTTACTACTTCCTGCTCAATTATTTTTAAACAAATACCACGCGCATTTAACGGCTTAACATTATACCCAAACCACATCACACTTCTAGAAGGACGTTTAAATGTCCAAGCCTGACCGCAAGCATCACCGTATAGATTTAAGAGTTTGTACTGCTGCCTATGGCCCGAACATGCCCAAACGAGGTTCGGGTAGCCCATGTGTCCTGGGGCCAGTCCCCTCGATTAAGGGACGCTTATCCCAGGGTGCAACCTCTTCAGGGACCATACAGTTTGTCAGATGCAACGGCACACCATCCATGGTTGGATGTTCATCTCACTCCGAGGAGGGCGACCACACCATTTGGTTCCTTCTTTGCATGCTAAATCACATTTCCGATTTCACACTCGCCCCCCCAAAACCCCCCACCTCCTTGGCCTGGACTCATAAGCTCACATGCTCGTCGCTGCTGTCAGGGTGCAGACCTGTGGGGCGCTGACATGAGCCGAGGCTGGAACTGATAACCGCGCATGCAAAAAGCGTAGGAGTAGAGCCCATCAGCTGTGGAGGCAAGGAGACACTCTAGAAGCATGGCCTTTGCCAAACTCATGCTCATCGTACCCGGTTCATGGGTAGCAACATAGTTTCATTTAGCCCATTTGAAGGGTTGAAGCTTGGATCTGCAGCTCCAAGCCTGAGACCCCACTGAGCCACACACCTGCCAACGGACTTGAGGGTAGAACTTGCCCAGCAATAACTCGGAATCCTGGCTTACGCAAAGGATGCTAAGGCTCCAACTCAAATCTGTGGATTTGAGACGTCGGGGCTTCACAAGGCTCTTCGACAATCCGAATCCAGATCCATTCTCGTAACATGCTACTGGCACTGCGGGGATTGACATGGATATACATGGATCTACGATGCGCGTACAGGACAGTACAGTACAGTACAGTACAGGTTCGAGTCCTTCAGAACCTCCGAGCCGCACGCTTCAACGAGCGACAGAGCCCAGGGGACGGAAACCAAAACCTTGCAGACCTTGCATTGGCCCTACCAACATCCCCGTGCACCCTTGATCCTGGCATGGATGGGTACTTGGCCCCGTAAACTTTCAAGAAACTCAGCCAAAGAAGCCCTGCCCCAAGTAACTGCGATGAAGCTTGGGATTCCTGTTCACACTCAGCCAGACGATGAGTCCACAAGAATAGCTGCCCTGCACCTGATCCTTTTCTTGAGGAAACACATCAAAACCAAACGGCAAGCTTTCGCATCTCCGTCCTTTCTGAAGCTTGCGCACCTTCCTCATTATGTGTTGCTGCTCTCGTATGACTTTCCTGGGCCAAGCAGTGACTCGTTTAGCGGGTACGGGGCCTATGCGCCCTGTGCGCTCAGAGGTTTTGGATTGCCAGGCTCCATGGTTCTAAGGATATCTCAGGATTTTGCCGGTTTTTTGTCTGGGTTGGGGACGAAGACGGGCTGCCAGAGTGTTCAGGTTGAATCATGCAACTTGTAAGCACTCTTTACATAAAAAGCCGAGCTTCTGAAGGTCGAGGCTTTTGGCCGTACCTGCACATTTGCGGTGCAGTAGCACACTGAGGTGTAGTGGAATGAGGGTGTTCCAAGTCGCAGACAGGGCAAGAGAAGGCCTGCAAAATAATGTAGGCTGAACATCCCTTTACTATAGTAAATGAAGCCATGTGTTGCAAGAGGCCCATGAGCTTCCTTTTGATATGGGCTAACTCGGTCAGTGTGTGCCGCCTATGGGGCCTATGGTTCCCAGAACACGAGCACGATTGCAGCATCTTGCAGCCTTGCAGTTTGCCGACTCGAAGTGGTGTTTTTGTCCCACGTTACTCTAGATCCTGCAATTTTTGATGCCTACACAGTTCTTTGTGAAAGCACCTCAAACCACCTCTCTCCATGACCGGCAGGGAGACAGGAGATAGAGCGCCACATGTTGTGTTCAATGGAGCCTTGCAGCTTCGCAACGCCGAGCACCAATTGCTCTGCGGTGAGGAAGCCACTCTTGTCTTGGGCGCTGTCCTGCAGAGTTTGCTGTATGGGCGCGTCGTGGCTCCTGTGCATGAAGCTGAACTAAGCCGCGAAGCCCCAAGTGTTCCAACCTGACAGCCTGGAACTCCAGATGAAACGCCCTTTCGTCCTGTAAGAGGTCCCAAGCTTCGCCGACATCACGGATGTCCTGCTGTCTCCGAGCAATCGGTTTATATAGGGTGAAGGAGTGGCGAAGGGCTTTAGGTGTCATTCCTGTCCGCGCCTCGGAATTGGGAGTCAAAGGGCCACATAAGGGTCGCCCCGCGCATGCGCGCGTGTGTGTATGTGTTTCTTTCTTGACGTGCTTTGCCCTCGGTGTCTGTTGAGATAGGTCGGGGTCTGCTCCGGCCTGCGCTCCGGAACGATTCAGGCTCCAAATCAGCTATGAAGACAAATTTGCCAGCCTCGATAGACAGAATCCATCGACTGTTCTGGGGCCTATGAAGACAAGTTTGTCCACCTCCTCGCAATGCCTCTCCAACACCCTCCCAAAAACTCTCTCGCTCGCTCTAGCTCTCTCTGTCTCTCTGCCTCCCTTGCCTACTAGCTCCCTAACCACTGGCTCCTAAAACCTTGAAGCCCGGCACGTCAGAGACGGGCTTGCAAACAGCACACCCCATCATTGAACCTTACATGAGAATTAAACTCAAACGTCCCCTAGAGCTCACACCTTTCCCGAACCAGAGAAGCACCGTGCCAAACTCTGAAGCCCAACGCCCTACATGTTCCGATATCATGTTAAACACATCAGATGTGTTTAACATGAGATTCTAAACCCCCTGAATTCATCAACCGCGGCTCCAGCTCCATAGCGCCCAGCCAAGCTTTGAGCTCGCTATCGGCCACTATTTCCTGCATAGGTTGCTGGTGAAGCGTGGCTTTCGTGGCGTTTAGAAGCAGAAGCTTCTGGCGAAACTTGTTCCAAGGCTGCTGGGAGCTGTTGGGCGCCTTCTGACACACGAACTTCAGCTTGTGTGGGGGGCCCAATCTTTGAGAAGGGGGCGGGGAGGGTGTGCAGGGGGATGGGGGGGGTGGGGGGGAGGGAGGGGGGCGGTCATGTTCTGGCTTGACTCTTTCAGAGTCCTTGCATATACTTATTAAAAGCTATACCTTACTTATCTTACTTAGATTTCACAAAAATACCCAAATTCACGTTGTGAAAGGTGACTTTTGCCAATGAAACGGTCAAACAACTGAATTTCAAGGGGTCGGTCCGTGGAATACAGGCACCTGGCAAAACATACCAAGAATAAACGTTCAGTTTGCAATTCCAAGTAGGTTTGTTAGAAGTTTCTGCGCTGTATAATAACTTAATAACCCTTCAAAAACTGTCGGGATTGCTTCATGTTGAGGTGAATGCTATACTGGAGGTGCTATTACCAACAAATCGGTTGGGCTTTCGGCCAAACAGCTTATTTCATAAACGATTTCCATTATGTCAGGTCAAGAGTCTAGAGCTGATATCCCATTTTGAACCGGGTCGTAATCCAAAAAGTCATTGCTGAAGATTATTTCCGGCAAGTTTCCGCACAAGAGAACTGAGGCTAAAGCCCAGAAGAGGCCTAGAAGAACCAGAAGCCCCTTGGAAGAGGCCCGGAAGAGGCTCCACCCCAGCCCCAACCTCCCCCGACCTTTATCATGGCGACCCGTGTCCGGCAAAACTTTGGTTCAGACCCATCGTCAAAAAAACATCGAACGGTGCAAGACGCATCTGGGCAGGTTCTGGAACCAGATTCAGCGAAGCCACCAAAGAGTGCCAGATGTGCTTTTGGAAGAGGGGAAATGCATAGATATGCATAGACTTCGGACGAGATTAGGCCACGCTTGGTTTCGAGCGGTCGCGGCGGGTTGAACTCATAGGCGCTCTGCCTCAAAACATATCCATAGAACCAAGACCTGAAGACCTAACCCACTCCTCTGGAACTGCTGAAGGTTTGTCAAGTTAAGTGAAATCGAGAACTTAAACCCACCCGACCCTAACACTATTCTGTTTATGCCGATGAAAACTTGGGAAACCGACGCTAAGAAAGTTGCCTCGGAAATCCGTGAATTCTGAGAAGCACCGAATCTTTTATTCAAGGTTATCAAGCACAAAGCGTTACATGAATAAGCTTGCTCGGGTGAAACCAAGTTGTGAACTGCAAATATTGAAACAACCTTTACAGTGCGGTGGGGGCAAGATCGGGCAGGAGTGCGGGCAGGGCTGCTAGCCAATCCCCGGATCTGTCCTTAAACTCCTGGAGGTCAATCCGTCCATCTTCCGATGTATCAGCCTGCGCTCAAAGCTCCATACTTCTGGTCGTGGCCAGAGAGATACAGAGAGAGAGCGGAGAGAGAGAGAGAGAGAGAGAGAGAGAGAGAGCGAGCGAGCGAGCGGAGGGAGGGGAGAGAGCTGGGCAAAGAGAGGTAGAGAGTAACAAACTAGAGAGAGTAACTGTCTGGAGATAGCTTTTTGCGCCGACCTATGCATAGAATCTATGTTCCACTCCCGAGGTCTCTAGCCTCTTCGAAGAGAAGCTGCATCTTCCGGATGTGATTCTCCATCGCTTTCTGCTTTGTCCGCATCATGATGGTATCCTTGCTTTCAACTGTTCCCGGAAGCGCTTGGTTCACCGAGTCTGAACTGTACACCTTAATGCCACATCGAACCCTGAAACGTGCCTCACACTATTCTTCAAAACGACTTCCAGCTCAGATTCATCATAGGAAGCCACTTTGAAGGTTTCCTGCATGAGGACGCCTGGGCTAAGTTATGACAGCAAGTGTCGGCTGAAGCTTCACAGGAGCTGAGAGATCAAAAGCCATGAGCAGCGCTTTGCAAGATGAAAACGCTGGAGATGGTTAAAAATGAAGAGCATTGAAAGTGAAGCTATACAACAACAGGTTTACGCATGACATGTTCGACATGACATCACTGAAAGGACAACTCAGAACGTTTCAAATAAGTTTAAGTTCAACCCACGATCTGTATGCTAGAACGGTCACAGTGATTTTAAAATCTTAACAACAATATCGGTTGCATCAGGTATCTTTTCAAATGAAAAACATTCTTATTCAAATGTATGATGGTTAACGGTTCACTGCTTTGTGTAAAATGTATATAGAATATGGGTTGAGTAGGACATGGCTGTACGTGTCGAAGACGTGTCCATGAGACGCTACTGTAATGTTGCTACCACAAAAGTTGCTAGCTATACGACACTCATTGTTTGGCAACGAAATGATATGATATGATAAAACGGACTGACCTTGCAATGGCTGCAATCGGAAGTTCGCAAGGCTGCAAGGCGAGGTCGCGAGGTCGCGAAATTGCAGAATCCCGGAAATATATTATCGCCACGTCTCATCTCGACGAAGTACAACAGTCTAATAAGACAAGTTTGTTGATCTATAAAAAAGAAGAATCATGGACCTAACGTGAGTCAGCAAACTAGCTTATATATATATATATAATGTATAGATATACTTAATGTTTCATTTATGTCTTTTCTTGTATATTTATTACGTACATTGAGCTTGTACCCAACGTAAGAATAGCTAACATGCACACGAACTTTCATGGAGATGGTCGGGCACAGGGAGGAGGGTTCGAAGCCAGCTAGCCTGTCAGCAACATTGAAGCATAGGCCTGCAGCTTGAAAGCTTCTTAGTGCCAGCAGGGCCTCGAAACCTCATGCAGAGCCTCCCAGGCATCGTTCCAGAGAGGCCCGAACGTCGTGGCCGAAAGATGGCGTAGGACAAGAAGAGTATTTCTCGTTTTTTCTTTTGCCCACGTTCATTCTGCCTTCTGGAGCTGTTCCTTCTTTACGTCTCTGATTCGTTCTGTCCTTTCTGTATGTGTCTCTCTTCTGGTTATGGTTGCATGTGTATTGAGGGTCCACAACGCAGTTGCCGAGCTGCCGTTGATGACTCCGATAACTGCAAAGCCCATGGTCACCTTGTGGATCAGGAAGAAGATCATAAACCACTCGGTGACCTTGGTAGAGACACTTAGGATTTCAGGCTCGTATTCCAGCTAAGAGCCGTCGGCTTTGTTCAAAGACGCGAAGAAACAACTCTTTTTTTTAAGCCCCCGAGTTTGGTCCTGTGCAAACATGACTAATGGCCCATAGTTCTGGTAACTCTGGTGTTGCAACGCACTTCTGTCTATGCGGAGCGTCTCATTCAGTCCAACCCTTCCAGTACGAAGCTCGGGCATTCAAACCTTGAAGCCTAGGCAGCTTCGGCAGCTTAGTCACGTTCTCAGTGAGTACGCGGCAAACCGGTGGCCAGTTGGCCTGAGCATGCTGAGTCGAACTTGGGCTGCAGATGCAACAAAACGGTCGTATTGGTCGCAGAGGTTTGGCTACTAGGTTACTAGGTGGGGTTGCAGGCAGGAATTCAGAGTTCAGGTGTTGCGATTTAATGCCTTTAAGGCATACCTACTTTTAGTCGTGATGCGCGAGGTGTGCTGCAGAATAAAAACCAGGCCACAAGAGTGATCTCAAACATGGTCAGCAGCGAGCGCGAGAAAGTCCCGAAGTAGGTGTAGACCTGGACGAGCGGAGCGTCGTGCTGACGGGGGGTATGAGGATTTAATGGCATTCGCCTCAAGAGTGGTTTTGAGCTGATGGCGTCCGCAATGCATTCGTTATGTAGGTTTATAGAGTTGAGGCTCTGGCTGGTGTATAAGCTTGCAAGCTTTGCGAAAATGACAAGGATGCCAGCAAACTTCAACACGTTAAGACAAACAATGAGGGGCTGAACTAAGCGTGCAAACCTCAGATCGATACTGAATCATCCTAAAACCACCATGCCCGCATAGACTCAGACGGTGTTCCAAGACAACCCTGAGCCCACGCCCTGAAGGTTCAACCTGCTCTCATGCTTTGCTCTCCAGGTTCGCATGCATCCAAGAGTCAATTTCCTGACGGTCTTTGATCAGCTCATCCTGAGCTGAGTTGCAGGTGTAATTCGGACTGGTTGTCTAGCATTTTCTTGTGTTCGATGTGTCCTACTGCTGCTGCTGACATGTGCTGACCTGATGATGTTTCACTACCACTGAACTTGCTATCTTGTGACGTGATGTCTCGAAGCTGTGGCACAGAAACTCTTCCATGGCCAGCACATCTCAAGCTACACCTAGCCGTCATGGGATTGGAGGCTTGTGGCATTCGGTTTAGGATCTTAATTGGTGAGAGCATCGGTGGAGACAGCGTCCGTAAAGTAAAAACCGTAGAGGAGCTGGTTCAAGACCTCGTACGAGCACAGCGCAACAGGTTCGGTCATGTGGCATTTCGCCGTGACAACTGCCTGCTCTGCGCCTATTTCATGCGTCCTCCGACTGCTCGTACTGCTAAGGCCAAGGGATTACCTAAACCGAAAGCCCTAAGCCCTCAGCCTAGCCTCAGTCGGGCTCGCCAAGCTAAACCCTGGACCAGTCTCAAGGTTTCCTCGCTTACGCCCAAGGTTTAGGACTTCGGGCTTTCTGCGGTCTTTCAGTCTCCCTGGTGCTCAAAGCAGCAAAGCACCTGCATTGCGAGGTTTGGGACTGTGCCACTCTACTAGTTTGCAGTGGTTGGCCCATCTCTCGGCTGTGATGCTGCAGCTTAAGGGGCCCTTTCTGTGCACCATTGGGTGGTGAGACTTTTGAGGCACTCCGAGGGCTGGTGTTCCGAGGTTCCGACCAGAGCAAACAGCATCTGGATCAGAAAAAGCCTCACTTTGTCAAGAGGCAGTCAAAGCAAATCCCAAGTGTAAGTGTATAGGCTGTGATCAACCCCAACCGAACGACCCTCAAGCATAATCCTCCCTTGACCCTGGGCTCAAAGTATGACCATATGGCATGAGAACCTCTTCCCAAAATATGCACTTAAGGGGCAGCGCTGCGGTCCACCCGAGAATGCCAGAGCTACTGCGTATAGCTGTGGACATGAGGTAGAGCGAGTCGAACCTTGCATCAAAATGTAAGAATCGGGTTGAGGATTTAAGGTTTAGGGTTTAGGGTTTAGGGTTTAGGGACTTTTCTGGCCGGGAGTGGTGGCTTGAGGGTGTTCTAGGTGCAAGGGTTGAGATTCTGGTTGAAGGCGCGCCAACCTGAAGCCCAAAGCCTCTCCTGCTTCAAGGTCGAAGGTCTTTCGGGGCAACTCAAACCACTTCCCTGTAGAGGTCAGGGCCCTGATTATATTTTGATTTTCTTTGTTGAGGCTGAGGGAGGGCTTTTACATTTGTAGGAGGAAGCCAAGTTTAAGAATCGGTTCAACAGGTTTTCCACAGGAAGCGAAGCACATGGCTCCGGGGTTGGAGAATGCTTCATGCACACATATGCACATGTGCTATGCCAGCTCGGTCAGCTACCGCGTGGAGCTTGATCGGAAGTTATTGCAGCACGACCAGGATTCCAGACAAAAATGTTTTCCCGAAACCGTGACCACGACACAAATCCCAACTCCCGCCACGTGTATGGTTGTTGGGCTGGGGGATGCACTCCCGCTGCAAAACCACGAAAGTGCGAAAACCCGCCTATGCTTGTGTGCAAAGTCTCAAAATCGGCTGTAACAGAATATCATAGAAGATCAGGTATTGTGTGACGTGCAAGGCTTGTGCTGCCTCATGTAGGGTCTCCGTGTCACCGATATACCTGACAAATTGGATGCGGGACACCAGCCCTACGAGCACCGAAAGCCAAGCCCCAAAGCCACGGCCATTCATGAGTCCCAGGTGCTGCTGAATCCGACGCACCAGCCGCAGCAAACGAAATAGTCGAATTAGTCGGGCCAGGCGCAACACCTCGAGGCATCTCGAGACACATCAGCTGGTCTTTGCGCGACGTTTTTGGCGGAGATGGCGGAGATTGTTCAAGCTTTGGACAGACAAATAAGTCTAGATGTATAATATTCGGCAGAGCATATGACAGTCTAGATGCTAGAAATTTGTTCTCAAGCATTAGATAGTACAAGTAGATGCAGATATGTAGGTATATGGTGACAGGCGCTAAAGGCATTTCCTTGTCCCTGACACATTCAAAAAAAATCAGATGTCAGAGACACAATTACAAGATAGAACCCAGTTCAAAGTGACAAAAAACCGCCAAGCTGTAGTAGAAGCCCTAACAACGGGTTAGCCAAAGCAAAGCAGAACGCCTGATGCCTTCCATCTCAGAAAGGAATAAAGATCTCCCTGGGCACTTGCACACAAGACTACACCCGATTCAGTTGGCGCGTGCCATTTGCAAGATGAGATCTTGTTAAAATGTTGCCCTGCTGTCCCTGCTTTCCGTCATTTAACGAATAGTCTTTAAAAAACAAGCCGGTGAAACAAAAGGGACGAGAGCACAAATCTCAGGGTAGTTTAGCAGGGTGGGAGCCCTTTCTTCTACGCTGCGATGGCTGCACTAAGGCTTGGCGCCAACTCCACCTGCACAAAACAAACCTGTAGAGACCCTGACCACAGTGCTCTTGCTGTATGGCTGAAGCTGAAACATTTGAAATTTGCCCAAAAGCCGATCTTCATTCCTCGTGAACAAAAGCAAGGTTCTGTACCTTCTCTCATTCGCTGTGAAAACGGCCCTTCGCTATCAATTCCTTGCCATCATGGTGCTTATATAGCTGGTGGCAGCACTGCCAAGCAGAAACCCCCTCTCCCTTCAGCAGCCCTACTCGTTGCTCCAACTGGTTTGCCTGCGAGTTCACCGGGAGCATGTCTTCAAAGACTTGGCCAAAGATCCTCGGGCTCGTGGCTATTCATCGCAAGCTGTCTTCCCATCCCCACAAGTTGCAGTCAAAAATCAATTCTCAAAGCCAAAATGAACAATTCGACCGCCCTGATCCTGGAAACTGTAAGGCCGGCGCCAGACCAGCACAATGACCTGGAGTCCAAGTTTTCAGAGATGAGATGGCGCATGGGTGAAGGTCAAGTCCGGGCCCCTTCACAGGCTCACCAAGCAGAAAGCAGAGCACTCCAACAAAGCCCAGAAGCTAAGTCCAGCCAGTTCCATCCCCCGCAGAAAAAAAGGTGTTGTCCTTGGCGCAGGAGCTTGGGCCGCGACCTATGAATCTATGAAGCACGTGCATCACCAGGAAGTCAGGGGAGGGGGGTAAGAGTGTGTGTTTTCTGGTTGTTGCTGCTTTTTTGCCGTTGCTGCGGGGCGCGCTTTTTTTGCTGTTGCTGCGGGGTGTGTTTTCTTTGTTTTTTTTGTCCTTGTGCATCGCGAGAAATTATTGACTTGTACAAACAAAAAGCTGCATGAAGTCCTATCGCAGCAACATCACAAAAACATCGACACTTGGACACTAATTACGGCCATTCTGGAGGCAGGACAGTGAATTCCTAGCACAAGGAAGTAAAGGCCTGAACATCTCCGAACCACGTGTGTGCGGAGCTGACTCTGTCCGGCTTGCCGGGGACTTTGCTTCGGCGCTTGTTGCTTTTTGCTCTCTGCATCTGAATCTGCCAAGCTTCGAACCAACAACCGCAAAACGACCTCCGCCGTGAAGACTATCCCGAACAGCATCTCCAAGACGTAGAATACATGGTCCTTCTCTTCGGCCACGCCAGGAATGCAACGTCATGCAACATGACGCAACATTGTGACTCTAGGGATGCTCAACAACAAGGTGGGTCGATGTCACGAAAAGAAAATCGCCATCAGCCATCCAACGAAACATGAGTATGCAGATGTGTTTGTGCCACGGAAGATGCGAGCGATGCACTGCTGACCTCCGGTTCTGAGCCATGCCTAGCGGAAGGCTTGCGTTGATTCGGGTATTTGCATCAACGAGGGGGGCCGCGAACATGGTCGGTACATGTAGCATGGCCCGATCCTGGATGAATCAGGGCCACATGTGACACACTTGGCTCAAAACAAGCTTCCGACAAAAATCGTCCGAACGCTGCTGAGCACAATCTCTGAAACCGTCTAAGCCTTGAAGTGAAAAGCCGGAAGGCTGAGTACCTTAAGTTCCTAGTTGAGCCCCCTTTGCTGGGCAGCCAAGCGACGCCATCTATCCAGAAATAGCTGGGCAAATCTCCGCCAAAGCCCTTGTGGCCGTATGCCATGCCCTTGTTTTGGGCCTCCAAAGCGAACCTTCACAGATCCAAGCTGCCATACGACTAACTCGTGCTCCGAAATCATATGTTCTCTTGGAGGTTCGTACTGACGGTTTTATCGGCAAGCAACTCATGCCTAAGGTCAAGAACCAGACATGGTCTTGGACAGAAAGCACAATCAAAGCCGGGTGGCACAACGGCGTTCAGGAAGATGATCAAGCAGACAAAAGCCTGCTGGCTGTGCTCATGCTCTCTTTCTTTGGCAGGAGGCCGATATTCTGCTTGGGGAGAACATACAGTGAGAGGTTGCTTGAATCCCAAACTTTGAAATCCGTTGAAGTCCCATGAAAAACCATGAAACACCCTCCCTTGCAACCCGAAACTTGGCGGAAAATGGCTTCTGGCAGCCTCGAACTTGGGATTGTTCAACAGGGCCGTGCACCTTGGCTCTTGCATGCAGAGTGGCAGGGTTTTCAGAAACTTCCTGTTATGCCGTTCCTGTGTGGTTCGTTATAGTAAACGTTCTTCCACATTCGGCTGTAGAAAGCTACATTCTGTAGGGTTCGGTGCCCAGAGTTTAGCGTTTGTCAGCGCTTAGCATACGCCATATGCAGCCACATAGGAGAAGCCCTGAGACCGACAGTGCAACCTCTCAGTACCGGTAGAAGCACACAAGAGGGAATGTGCGTGCAGCACAGTTTGTGCAAGGTAGACAATCCCAATTTGGTTCAGGCCCAGTGCGGCAGTCCAAGTTCACAAAGCCCTCAGCTCCTGATTTGTTGAGCCCCAGGTGCTTTCTCATCGTCTGGGAATGCACTTCTGCGTTGTTGGAACTGACGTTCCTCGATGTGAAGACGAACCTTCCAGCTCTTACATTCATCATATTCTTGAGTCGCGGCTCGCTCAAAAAAACCACATGCAGTCTAAGAAAACATGGGTCCTAAAACTTTCGACTCGCAGGCAGGAGCAGCTTGCATCTGGTGTCCCTCACCTTCCTAAGCCCTTGGGAGCCTCTTGTTATGAGAGCCACGCAAGATGCTTAAGGCTTCAGGCGATGCAGATTCGAGTCCGGAACTCTACTGTAGACACTTGCTGAAGTGCAGGATGTGCAGGCAGGCAAGCAAATTCAGTCTTGGAGACGCATACTAGCTGCTGAAGCACTTTGAGACCGAATTGAACAGATACGTGAGTAATGCCGATCGATGCCGAAGGCATCATGCGGCTGAGTGGTCATGAGCATGAGTATGTTTGCTGCCCCCATCCGAAATTGTCACCGAATCACTTGGACTTCCTGGAAGGGCTCTTTATGCTGGAGACGTGGTCCACCTGAGTAGACTGCCAAACAAAGCACCGTCTTGCAAAAGTTTTGGCAGGCAGCACTTGACACAGCGGAGTATCTTGGAGTGCTTTGAGTTTTGATGCCATTTGCCTCTCCAGTCTCACACCTGCGCTAAACTCCGCCCGGATGCTGACTCGGAGTTCATGGTGCCATACGCTCGCACGGCAGATTCCTCCAAAGTGTCTTAAAGCAGACTTCAGAGTTGCTGACGGCCTGGAAAGGTTCAAACGCTTGCACGCAGGAGCATCGGTTCCAAAAGCTTGCTGGTGCACGTGTATGGGGTCAGGGTGGGGTTCAGAATTGTTCAGAACGAAATTCAAAGGCCGACTACTCCTTGGACCCTATGCGACAGACTTTTGCAGGACTTGGACAAGGCTGACTCTGAACATCTCGAGTCTACACGATATTGCCCATCCCGAAACCCGGAACCCCAAGTCCGTGGCCCAACGCCTTCTCTAAGTCCTCCTTAAGGGCATCGAATTTTGAGCCATCCTTAAACGCATCAACGGCCTCCTCGGATCGCACCGACTCATCGGCTCCCATTATTGTGTCCTGGCCAGGGGCGACTGCCAGGGGCGTAGGATTCAGGCCGTACGTATCGCCGATGCCTCGAACACAGACCCGAAACAACTCTCGACCTCTGAACCTCGTAAGCCTGAAGCCCAGCATGACCGATGCCAGGCTTACACTGTGTCTTCGCACTTTGCAGTGAACACAGTCCTTCCTGCTGGGTTTTGTGGTGCATGCAAAGGGTTGGGCCGCGAGATGTCGCGAGCTTGGGCATGTCATGCTGCGAGAGAACTAGACGTCGTTGTTTCAAGCCTCGCAGGTTCACCGTCCCTTGTACATCCTTGTTACCTGCCTCTTGCCCTCTCTAGGCGATACAGCCAGGTCTTGCGGTTGTGTCCTGGCTGATATCGAACATGTCCAGCGAATCAATCGGCGAGGATCGGAGACTTGGGGCCGTGGGGCTCGGTCCCTGATGCAGTGGACTCGGCAATGGCTCTGTGTCCTGCACGGTCGCTGCGCGAGTTCGGGCTCTTGCTGGCAGAGCGAATATGAGAAACTCTGATCTCGGGAGTTCAACCTCACTGACAGCCTATGACTTGTAGCACAGAAGCAGATCTCACATTGGCACATTGGTGTGGATCGCTGTTCCAACAGAGGAGCGAAATAGGAGTTTTAAGAAATTAAGGACCTCCGGCCGATTTGAATTTCATGCAAAATGGCTTTAAACAACTTAAATTCCGCTAATCTGGGAAGGGGTGGAATCCAAGAATCCAAGCGCCGTGCCTCTACATTCCCACGGCTCAGAAGCCTTTCATGCTCAGATGGAGTTAAGGCTTGTGGATGCAAAAGAGTTTGGCATCAGGAACCTCGACTGGTATATCAAAGCCAGGAAATACTAACTACCGAAGCTAGAGACCTCATACGTGACAACACATCAGCTGGAGATGATCGAGTGCTCGACGCAAGCAGGCGGACCAACATTCCAACATTCCACCACTAAGCATGTGTACAGTGTACAGGTTTCAAACTGTTCAAGTTACTTGACCCGTCCTGGGCAAGAGATGGCTGGCTCCCATTGGAGGAATGAACATGGACGTCAAACTCCTCCGTGACCTGGTCGCGCCCAGCACAATCGAGAAACCCCTGCCGAAAACAAAACCGTTAATGGGGGGGGTGTCTTAGTGTTCAGGGTTTTGGTTGGGGGAGGGCGGTAAGCTTCAAGCCCTCTGACTTCGATTCTTCCGAACCCCCAAACTCCAAAGTTCTTACCCGCTTGATCATGTTGGTGGCAACTCCATGTTGAGAAAGCCACAGGAGCCACTAAGAATGTCCAGCAAATGAATGCACACCAGCAGGACTACTGCGGATGGACAAAATCTTGCGCCACTTTTCCGAGACGTCGTTTTGCATTTTGTCCCCGTTTTAACATTGGCTGTGAAAAGCTACCGGCCGCTCAGGTAATTAGTCCATGGTAGCCCTAGCCGCCAATGTTAGGGGGTGCGGGGCTTGATGCCTCAATCGTTTGAAGTACGCATTTACAGGTGGTGCAAGATTTCGTCCATCCACCGTAGTACTTCTCCTCTTACAGCGCAGATACCACAAGCCTTTTTACTTTTTGCCATGAACACAGAAACCAGCACGCAGTATGCAAGCATGCCGGCGAGCAGGAAAAACCCATGCTGTGTTGAAATTCCTGTACTGACCGCTTCTCCCCTATACAAGACTGATACAGATTGTCGCTCTTTTCGCTGCAGGCAAGTTCTACAAGTTGCAGTGGGCAAGGCCACACTCAGCCTACACTAACGGTTTACAAACCTGTATGAAGGCAGCAGTAGAAAACGCAGCCTGCCCTCGGCCTCCTCCAAGGGGTAGCCCCGCCGCACGCAGTTGCGAAGCTGCCGTCGAAGTCGTTCCACCTTTTATTGGATCTGGGGTGCGGCAGTGCTTGCGCAAAGGGTCTGGAGGGCTTTGCAGCTGCAGGTTCTGGCGTGATAATTGCATCAGAGTTCTTCGGCAACATCGCTGCAGTGATGGCTTTCTCTCACAGACCGTGACCCTCTTCACAGACCGTGCACGGACATATGGACTTTGGCGTGTTGACACGTAGCCTGTGCCTGCGCACGTGCAAATCTTGCATGTGTTCAACTCAACTCGGGCAGGACCACGCAGAATGTCCTGTCTCACTTCACAAGTTGAGTGGCAAGGTGTGTTCTGAGATACAGCATGCCTTGGCTTCTCTACTCTGCTATTGGGTGGTCCCAGACTCTCCTCCCCTAAAAGTGCCTCTTCAAGACGCCCACCAAACCCCATGGAAACAGGAACAAACATTCGGTCGATTGTGAGCTTGCCCTACAACCCTCGATCTGCCGACTTACAGGCAAGGCCGTGCAACGAAAAAAGAACGCATGAAAAATCGCATGCGCAAACACCAATGCAAAATACGTTGCAAGTATACCTCCTAGTGGAGAATTGCAGTGGTTGCCGTGCAACTCTGCTTGGAGGGGTGTGGTGAGGAGGGCAGCGGCGGGGCGGAGGGGTAGGATGATGCAGCACTCAGCCTCAAGTCCCAACCCAGCCTTGCGATTGAGCGTGGCGATCTGTTGCACATGGACTGCATTGAGCTTTTCCAGCAGCCTTGGTCTGTTCAATGTCAGGGAATGGCTTGCAGGGGATGGGTACAGGACGATGTCCGACAGCCAAATTGCTGGCACAGGCCACATGCTTTTCGTCACGTGGCTATTCACTGCAAGACCTGTGACGGCGACACGCTTGCTAGTACCGAATAAGTTTAGCTGCAATCTGCCGGCACGATGCCGGCTGAAGATTAGCGAGTGGTGTTCGTGATTTGTCATGTAGACCACTGCGGAAAAAACTTGCTAACAATCGTGAGTAAACTTTAACTACATGGTACCGAAACAAGTCGATATCTCAACCGTCACCAAAGTGAAACGGTTTCGTCAGGTAAGCAAATGACAATTGGAGCACACCAGCAAAGAAGAAACAGCGGAAGCATCGCTACCTCTCCGTGATTTTTTCGCTACAACCGTCATGCCACGATCCCGAAGCAACTGGATGTCTAGCAGTCACAAACGAAGACGGGTACAAAGAGCTTTGGTAACAAGTATAGCAAGCGCAAGCGTCCTAAAACAGCCTGGCCATACCGCCAGGACAGTACTGATGTTGCTAGCATGAACATCGTGAACCAAGATGCCTGTTGGTTATGTGACATGGAGCAGAAATGAAGGTTTCCATGAAAGTCCGGCTTATCCACCCAGGCCTGCACTCAGAGCCTGCATGTGCTTATGGTCTTTACATCTCTACAGAACCGAAGACCTGTCCCACCAAACGCCTTTTACATCCTTTTACCAAGCGGCTCGTCAAAACCCACCTCTGCCTGCCAGGACCCGAAGCCAGGGGCGGGCAGTGAGGGCAGGCCCAACTCCATGGCACCGCGGGGTTGGGCAGCTTGGCCAGATGTGCAGCTTGGAGTTTTAACTTGTGCAAGTAGCATCCAAGGAGCTGCAAGGGAGAACAAGAATCAGTGTTGTTTGTCATGGAGGTGGTGAACCTCCAGCTGTTACACGTGGTTGCCCCAAGTGACAAGTAC